ACTTTGGAGTCGGTGGATGTAACACGATGTAGCAAGTAATGCGATGTTCATGTTCGCTACTAGTTGCTGCTGGTGTGTGCATGACTTCCATTAGATACTCGATGTGAGTTAGGTCACGTCGCAAAGTCCAGCGAGTGACTACGAGCCGGAATCTCCGAGGAGTTTCGAAGCAACAAGCTATTGCAAATAATTTACTAGCAGCAGAGGAATAAAAAAATGGAATGTAACTTATTTAGGAATATTATCTCATAGGTTTAGTCAATTAATTATGTAGTTATAGATTTGTTTATTTATTAAAAATAGTAAAAAGTTTTTAAATTTGATGTTTTATTGAGTAAAATTAGGTTAAAAAATAGGTGATAACCTGTGATAACAATGAAATTGTTGTTTTTTCTTATTGCTAATGATTATTAATGTTTAAAAATAAGATAAATTGATGTGGAAATGCAAAAAATGTGTTTTTGACGAATAAAATACCGAAATACAGACGAATTGGTATTACTCACCGTGTGAACTTTGATTCCAAGCACAAAAAATGCCAATATTTTTTATAAACACTCAATAATTTTAATACCTCGTTAAGTTTTTGCTGTATTTAAAACTTTTTAAACTTCTGATGAGTCATATATGAATTTTACCAGCAATTTAGACCAAAATTATTTTAAAATACTTGTTAAGTATGCCACAACAGTTATTCTAAAAATCCCCAAACAATTCATAGAAACATTGTTTGAAAATAATTCTGATAGCGATAATATTGTGCAATTCATTGTGGTTTTGTTGAACTTTGAATTGGATCGGATTTTTGTGGCTTTGCTTGAAATTTTAAAAAGCTTTGAAAGTATCTACACCAAATTACATGTCGCAACGAGTCAAGCTGAGCCCCACGTAAATGTAAAGTGGATTGAACCAGCAGCGGCAGCAGAAGCAGGTGAAGGAGCGAATTGCGTGAAAGGCGGGCGGGCTCGAATTATTTTATTGTCTATCTCTGCGCGAGTAATTCACAATTCACTATTTCCGAGCTGGCGTCGGCGCGTTTGCACGTTGGTTGCTCAAACCAAAACCTCGGCACGGCGGCGCGGTGCGCGGTCCAAAGTGCAAAGTCGAAACGAAAATGTCGCACACCGCTCGAATAATAGAATGCCGCGCGCGACATTTTAATGAGCGTGTATGTGATCGCACTCACATACGCGCACACATCCTCCACCTTATTTCATAGAGGCCAGTGATTGTCAAACTTTTATTTTTTACATTGGTAAATATTAATATATTTAATGAAAACTTGTTTTTCTTTGTATATCTATAGAAATCGTGTTTTCTGTTAGTTTTTAATTAATTAAACAGAAACGCTTCGAGCTATCGCTTTGATTCTTTCACTAATGAATTCTGTGTTAAATTCTTCATCAACCTACGTAAAGAATTTGTTATTTTTTATCATTTATAATTAGTTTTAAGGTGATTAATATATTTTTCTAATTTAAACAAAAATATTTTTTATTTTGCGTGTAATTTTGAATGGTATAATTTTATCTTTGTGTATTTTACATGATGTAATGTGAAATTAATCACAGAGTTAATTTCTGTATAAATAATTATTGTAACGCGTTGCGTTCCCGAGTAATCATTTAATAACTCAGAGAAAACTTTCGTTTGCGTGGTGCCGCGCGCTGTTCACTCACGGAAACCGTGTTCTCGGTTGGTAATTAATTAATTACACAAAAACCCATGCAGCTACAGTTATAATTCTTTCTCTACTAAACTCAATATTAAATTCTGCTTCTATTTATTATAAAATAAAACATTAAAATACATTTAATCACCGAGAAAATCACAAATAAAATTTCAAAATTGATTTTTGTTCTATTTTGAAATAAAAGTTTTGCAAGCACTGATACTCAAAATCCCGCTTTGCTTCAATACCTCATATGTGTTATACGTGTATCTATAGACTTTATTCGTGCTAGATTGTTGCGTTTGTCGCAATGGCGATGGCTCGAAACGCGTTCAACCGCTTAATTGTTTTGTCATGCATTACATTCGGTGGCGCGCACAGCACACCAACACACACTATGTATTTACGCTTGTGCTGCCGGGTGAAGAAATTCCCCGCACAGGACGTTATTTAATCGAGACGCGCTCCGGCGCTGACTAATCATCATTGCTTGCGAGCATTCACATTCGTATCTCCACTGCGTGTTAACTCTACGCATACACACCATACATACATTCGTAAATATTGAGTCGGTATGTTGTTTGTGGTCTTGATCAATCATTGATTAACAACGCACACGAATTACGCGTCGCGCACATGTTGGCTAACAATGGCAGGCGCGATGCGTCGCTGCTAATTTGCATTCGCATTCGCTGTCAACGAAAACACACCGAAAAAATAAATAATAAAAGACGACGATATGGGCAATCAAAGTGCTGGAAACAATTACGCCAGCGATGCGACAAACAATAAAACAATATGGCGCCGTGACACATACAAACATTGTTTTATGTGTCGCGGTTTGTACTTTGGACTCCTCGTGTTTTTTCCAAACATACACTAAAAATACATTCATGGCATAACTAATTTTAACATTTGAAATTATGACATGAATGCACATTCCAGTGGTTTATAGTTAGAATCATTGTTTTATAAAATATCGACGATAATAAAATAAATGGGAATATAGGCGGTAATAGTTGTTTTGCTCGTAAATTATTCTGGACCGTATAATTTGAGGCATTTCTATTTTATGTTCTAAATGCCAGCAGGCGCGGCAATGTTTGACGAATAATTAATTGTCGAATTAACTGCAGCCGGGATTTAAAATATCTTGCACCAATGATAGTATTTGTAATATTCACTCATTAGTGATAAATTGTTAATTGATTGTGATGCAGTGGTTTAGCAAATGTAATAAATTTGCGAATTGCACAATGTCAATATTTTTGAATTATATATGCGAAAAATGACTCAAACGTGCTGCTTTAATTTGTTTTTGTAGTTTTCGCACTCATATCATCGACTATCGGTAATATAATCATACAAATAAAGTAAACAAACAAATGTTTGCTAATTGCCTTTTTAATTTATTATTAATTAATCATGTTCTAATTAACACATTGTGTTATGTGTGTTATTAAGCTGCTGGCTCTACTCATGCTTGACAATCTCGGTCAATGATAACACGAAACGTGTGGGTGGCACGCATTGTTTCAACAAGTTGGAGGTAAACACATTCCGCGCAAAAAATAAGACGCAAAAATTGGCATAAACAAGGAAGTTGTATCAGCGTAATTTATATTCGATTCATTTGTTGATTCTGTGTGTAGTGTAACTCAACTGAAGATGAAAGTACAGAGTGCAGAAGGCTGTGCTGTGCGTACGCGCGCGGTGTTGCAGCGCGAATTACGAATTACGATTCTGTTTACGCTCTCGGCCGTTGTGTCTCGTCGTGTGCCTTGGCTGCTTGGCATGCGAATGGCGAATGTGAAAAATCCGCGTGCAAACCGAGCCGCGAAACTGCGTCGCACTGCCTTTGCGGCCGCAACACAACAAGGCAATAATTTATTATTACACCGACACGAGCCGGCGCGAGTCCTGTGTCTTTATGACTTCATGTGACTGTTTGCGTTTGTCTCTGCCATTTCGGCCTCAGTGAGCGACAAATGCATGAATTTAGCTTTATATTTTTCTTACAATTCCGGCGGCGCGCGTGTTTGGAATATTGAACGCCGTAGAATTGTTTTACTTCGCCTAAATAACTTCCCTATTGTAGAATATTGTAGAATATTGTAGAATATTGTAGAATATTGTAGAATATTGTAGAATATTTGCCGTTTTGCTGGTTTTGCATGCGAGCGAATCATAGATGTTTTGTTTCCACTGGCGGAGATAAGAAAACAATGAACAAATTGTGCGCTCATTTGCAACGGTTTTGCAGAGACCCGTGCATTTTTATCATTTTACGTGAACGATAAAATCGATTTGACTCTTTGTTCTCGTGATTCAATTTTTCTCGCATTGTCATGTTTACAGAACGTGCTCCGATCAAATTATGTGTATCTAGGGCGGAAAATAGCGGTATGAGATGCACATTTATCAATGTTTAAGGACGCATATCAATTGCTTGTGGTTTTCGGTACGAAAACAGACGACAAAAGTTAGATTAGACCCAATATCAGCATAATATCTCCTTAAAAATGATATAACAATTGTGTTTCTGCGCCTTTAATGTTTATTACGCCGTAAAATACCTTCATATATTTATTTATGCGTCAAATATATCAAATCAGAAAACAACATGTCTGCAATGCAAATAAATGTAGGCGCATGCAATGATTACATTGCAATAAAATGTAACATCAACAGTAACATGTAATATTTGCGTGGAATTTTTGCATAAACGCCGGCAATGCAAGCTAAAGTTTTCAAGTCAAATATTCTAGTCATCCACGTGTGTAAGCGGTTTTTATTACAATGCCAGTTTTAGCTTACATTCTGAAGTAGCAAAAAGTAGCGCATATTATCAGCGTTATCTGTGTCGGTAACACGAGCGCTAGCTACCTGAAAATCTTCCAAGTTGTGTGGATTAAAAGCATGTTTTTGTCTTGTTGAAAAATCCAACCAAAAAATAAACAAAACCGAAACAAATGTGTGTCTGGCTGTGTGTTATCAAGAGCAAAACATGGCTTTGTTTGGCGGTATTATTGCAGATTATGAGAAGAAAGTACGACGTAAAAATTTAAGCTATGAAATCATCATCGGAGTGTAAACAATGTTTACGTATGCAGAAGACTTGCAAATCGGTAATTAATTCATTCTAAAAATACAAATTATTCATTGATAACATGCCGGCATAGTGTAATTTTTGTTTATGTTGAATATGTGATTGTTAATCAAAGTGTTGCAAGCAATTGCAACGAATGTGCCCCAAAGGGTCATCGAATTAATTACGCCGTAATTTGTATACAAATAAATCAACTGACTGTTGTGTATTTTGTTCTAGGTGTGTGAATATTTGGGCATCTCGAAAGAATCCGATTACTTTGGGTTGAAGTACACTGTCAATAAAGGTGAAGAACTTTGGCTGAATCTACGCAACCCAATTGAAACACAGAAAGGCGCACGCACACACAATTCTCAACCGCGATTTGCGTTGAGGGTGAAATTTTGGGTACCACCACATTTACTGCTTCAAGAAAAGACTAGGTAATGATTTTTGATGATGAAACGATGTGTTCAAGATGTTTATTTTTTGAATTTATTTTTAGACATCAGTTTTACCTCCACGCAAAGCTGGACTTGATCGAGAAACGCCTCATCGCTCCCGATTGGAACGTCGTCGCCCGATTGATTGCACACATCGCGCAAGCTGAGAATGGCGACTATGATCCACAACATCCGCCGCTGCACGTGTACCAACAGTGCATGTCTATTACGAAAATGGACCCTGATGATAAACCGGCCGATCTGCTCAAGCGCGCGATTGCGATTCATCGCAGTCTCGCCGGGATGAAAGCTTCCACTGCTGAGTATTGGTTGCTGCACCAAGTTGCTACTCTTGAAGGTTTCGGACAGGAAATCTTTGCCGGTGCTATGGGTACCATCTTGGGCGTGGGCCCGCATGGAATTTCGGTGTATGCTAAGGACGCTGACAAGCAGGTGATCCCTTTCACTGCGATTCAGAATGCCAAGGCGATCAAACGCAACTTTAAGCTCACCTACGTTGGACAGGACAATATCGAGCATTCGCTTGATATGAAATTTGCCAGTATTCACTGCGCGAGTAGTCTTTATAGGGCCATCACCGAGAAACACGCTTTTTATAGTTGTGAGACCGTACGGAGTGCGGTGACCGCGCAGTTTGTGCGAGATTTGAAGGGGACAATTGTGTCGATCTTCAATGAGGACTCCAGTTTGGGGAAGAATTACGTTTTCGATATTAGGAGGACCTGTAGGGAGGTGTACGATGATGCTCGGCGGGCTTTGTATTCGGAGTCGATTGGGATGACTATTCCGATGGCTGATAGTGATATGGATGAGAATCGGACGTGCAATGGGAGTAATTGTAAAGTAAGTTTAGCTAAAACGCACTGATTTTGGATTGTTTTTAAACTTTACCTTTTTGTTTAGGAGTCTCAAAAGTATGCAAGATTGTTGGATGCGATGACATGCTGCATCTGCATGGACGCCGCCATCGACGCCTTGTTCCAACCCTGCCGGCACGCCATTGCGTGTCTCACCTGTGCCGAGCAGTGTGAACGCTGCCCATTTTGCCGAGCGAACATCTCCGAAGCGCAGCGCATCTACTTCCAAGGCGAAGTTAGTGCGGCTGCTGCTCAAAGGGCTGCCGCCCAACCCTGAAGACGTTTAGTGATTGATAAATTAACTTCTAAGTGACAAGATCTCTCCTCTTATTGATAAGCTACAATGATGCGAAGATGGACGTTCGAGATATGACGACTTTAAGAATTTAGAATTTAACGAATTACAATATTAATTTTAATCGTTGATGTAAAACGATATAGTCATGATATCAATGCAAATTGTTTCTAAGTTAATCTATATTTAGCATGTTTAGTTATATTATATATGCTGTATATTAATGCAATATCAAGTTATTTTTTAAGTTTATGATTTGTGACGAGATGCGTGCGAGATTATGCTAGTATTCTTTTGTATAATGGAGTAATGCTTTCATAGCGTAGCGTTAAAATTGATGGTGATAACGAGCGACTTTTGAGTGTACAGATTTTGAAAAAGTACGCGTCCCGAATGTGATATATTTTTTTCTTTAAACGTTTATTATAAAAGTTTCAATTGGAGTTGATTTTTCTTTTCTTTTTATCACTAACTCCTCGAAACGGACCAACCCCTAAACAAGCAGCATCGTGATTGTTGTATACGATGTGCACCGCGACGATAATAACTAGATGTTGTAAAAAATGTAATTTTAAGAGATTTGCGACGTTCGTTTGTTTAACGATTTTCAAGATGGTGTCTCATACAAAAGCTACCCATGTGAGCTGTTATAATTATTCCAAAGCGAAAGTGAGAAATAAAAATGATAGATACCTATGATATAAATGCATATTACGTAATTAAATGGCAATTATTAATAATTTACTGTGAATCTAGTTAGATTACAAACTAGGAAAACTAGGTGTACATTGGGTGGCCTATTTAATTATTTGAATGCAGAAATTTACCAAAATAAATATTCCAAGAAATAATACAACTATGGTTAATATATTATTATCATTATTTTGCCCGCATTGTTAATATCCTAGTTCGTTATTTACACTGTTAGTTTACACAATTTGTTTAAAATGTTAGCAGCTTGAAGAGTGTCCTTGGCGGGTATTTGCAGGTTCACCAATCTAAAAAAGTAACCAGATGTCACTATTTAAAGAAATATTATAAATATTAAGTGAAGTTACCTAAGTCATAATACTTGTAATCATATATAAAACAATATTTTATTATTTTAACGGTGTAGTTCTACAATTACTCATAAAAATGATCAATATTTTACGTTTATTACAATATATGTAAGCGCGCTGACTGTAAGCTGGGGACTTTCTCGTTTGGTTGGTGCGGGTGCGCAGTGTGTGCATTGTTGGGAGCTCGCGCAAGATGGCCGCACTCAGTCGAAAGTAGTATGAAAAATGGTAAAATTTCCCTGAAAAAAAATTACATTTTTCCACACGCACACGTACACCGCCATCCACGACACGTTGCGCCCGGCGGCCAGCGGAGCCCGTGTCGTACCCGAAATCCACATAAGTTTGGCGGCGGCGCACACCTGGCGCTTCTTCCGTGGGGGCCTCCTACGTACCGAATCCAGCGCATAACCCGACCACAATTGTGACGAAACTGTGCGAGAATGCTGCGACCGAAGCGTCGACCGGCGTCCGAGTGTTGTGCCATGTAGCGGCGCGTGAAACGCACGCCGCGAGAAGCGCCTAGATGCGTCGGACGAGCGTCGCGACGATCGAGGAGATAGCCGCACATCGTCGCCGAAATTGACGAGTAAGTTGTGCACACCGTTGCTAAATCATCGTTATCGCAGTGTCACAAGTGTGCTCTAGCAATAGCCCTGAATTCGCTGGGAAAATTATTACTCTAGTGATGTGATGAGAACTAACAGATGAAATTGGTATCTGTTGGGTGATAGAGTTTCATTCAAGTGTTTATTCAGAACCAACCAAAAAATTGTTTATAACTAAAGTGTGACATATGCTTAGCAGATCCTTTTCATTGGTACAGTATTATTAGCATTGTTTTAGTACATAACTTGCATTTTTGTTATATCACCAACATTGTTGTTGCTGGTACAACTATCAAGTTGCCTTACACTTTGCAAAACAAACATATAGCATTACAAAACTTGTGTGACCCACATTAATGGTAAATTTCATTTTTAGAGTGCATTACGGACGATGCAGCAGGACAAACTGAAGGATGTGTCCCCTGCTGGCCTCGTCGTGGACGGTGGCGGCGTCGGCGTGTGTTTCGTGTGTGGTGCGCGCGGTTTACAGCACGCCTACTGGGTGCATGCGAAACCGCCGGGTGGGAAAGCGCGCGAGCCTCATTTTCCGTTTCTGGAGTCGCACGAATTACCCGCTGGCTGCGTGCCACCGAAGAGCGCCGATGGTGCGGTGCCGGCGTGCCAGCTCTGCTACAGTCTCCTTCTGCAGCAGTGGGATGCGTACGAACGCGCCGCACGCCCACATCATGAGCGGCTCTACTGGCTGAAACGTGTCGATAACGGGCCGTACACTGGAGCGGACATGGGCATGCAGGGCGAGTACGCCGCGCAGATGCTCGGCCTGAATAGTGATAACGCCGTTAGCAGTCGACCGCCCAGCAGAAGGGAAAGCGAAGTCGCTGCGCAGCGGTATAAAGCATCCCCGCGTCCTTCACTAGTGAGTTGAATTTTATTTCATGGTTTAGTTAGTAGTGATTTTTTTTTCAATTCAGCTACCTGTGGATTGGTTTTTTCGTATAATTTAAGCACTTAATATGCGGTAAACCCGTGTATCTAATTATTGTGTAAATATTTAGATTTTGCACATCTCCGAGCCGGTTAGGAACGGTTTGAAGTTTGATGTTGTAAACTTGTTAAAATGTTACTGTTAAAGCGTAGTGACCTTTTGGGGACCTCTCCGTACGTATTGTCATTTTTGTCTCGCCACCGAAGTGGCGTAGCCGATTTTAGCACACTTTTAGTATGTGTGCCGCGCTGCACACATTTTTCTCCGCTATCAGTTGTTTACATTACGCGCGCGGCCGACACATTGCCATCAATAATTTAATGCGGCTCCGCACGCGTGAAATCGTCCACAGATTGCGAAGGGTCAGCAACATTCTTATTTATGTTTTTCGGTTCGCGCGTTATCGTCGCGGCGCTGAGCAATCAATTCGTCGTACAACACGCGCGACTTGCCGTTGTGGTGTAGTAGTTTCATTTGGGGTACGTGCTAAATTGCAGGTATCAACAACGGAGAGAGAAGACAAAGATCCACCCTCAGAGGCCTTAGATCTGCGCAATTCGAGCAGTCGCAGTTCGCCCATCCTGCAGCAGCAGCGTTCCACGCCGGTGCACCTCTTCCACAGTCAGAACTCCAACTCGTCGACGGGTACCGACATCCTCGACCTGAGCATGCCGGACAAGAACTCCGTCACAGAGGTGTGTTACGTATGTGGCGACGAGTTCAAGCGCGGCAGTCTTAGTTATATCGCGGCGCGCCCGCTGCAGGAAACACCCGTCACACCGTTCTTCCCTAGCCTGATGTTGCACCCACGTCCGTCGCGCTCGCGCCCGATGGACAGTAGTGGCAAGGTTCAGGCGTGTGTTGACTGCCAGCAGCATCTTGTCAAGCAGTGGCACACGTTCCAGGCACAGGCTGTACCACATTATGAGCGAAATTATACGCTTCGTAAGCGGCAAGCTGCGGCCATCGACACCACCACCTTCATTTGTTATACTTGCGCGCTGGAATATCCTAGCAGCAGCATCCGCCTGCTTTACTGCTGTGCCAATCCCGAGAAGGAGCCGTACTTTCCCTATATTCAGACGTTAAAACCGCCGCCTGGCACTAGCCCAATCAGTCCTCAGGGTATGGTGCAGGTGTGCTCCATTTGCTACAAGAGTATACCACAGAAACATCAGGTGTTTGGCGATCCGAATTCCACGGCTGGAAACAACCACGTGTCCATTACGGACGTGCAATATTATAATAACAACTCCAGCCGACCGAGCACGGTAAAATCGCCGGCGAATAGCGCAGGAAGTGACGTTCGGTATAAACCCTACGACGTCAACAAAACTACCATCGTCACCTCGAAGAAAAAACAAGCTGCGAATGAATTGCGGCAATTAGCAAAGGTAGAGGATACATTTTACACTTTCTCTATTCATTATATGTACTAATTAAATATTTTTGCAGAGAACATCTTCACCTGCTCCCGAAATCAACGGACAAAGCTCTGGCGATAACTACCGTTGTTATATCTGTGCTGGGCTTTTCCCGCATACGCAGATGGAGTGGCTGAGTACTAGTTCCGAGGGCATGAATTCCCATGCGATGCACTTTCCTATCCTTCGTACGGTAGCACGCACCTCGGAAAACAGCTGTATGGATTCGCATGGTCGTGTTTTGAGCTGTGCGAAGTGCGTCAATTACTTGGCGATGCAATGGGATACTTTAGAAAGTGAACGAGTGCCCTTGGAGCAACGCCGGTATGAAGTACCGACGCCCATTCCGGATTCGCACAGCATCAACGGCGACAGGTGTATTACATCGCCGCCTAGTGTTCATAGCGATCGAGTGGCCGCCTCTGCCACCGGTAGCAGCATTTATTGCTTCCTGTGTGGTTACCATTCCGAATTTACACTTGCGAGGGTTGTCTACAGTCGACCGCAAGGTAAAATTTAAGATTTCATATCTAGAATGACGAATATTATGATTATTTTATGAATTTCAGGTCGAAATGCACCGTACTTTCCTGCTCTCCTTAAACACAAATCGCCGGCGAATGCGGAACAGCTTCGTGATGACGGTTCGGCACTTGTGTGCACTTTTGTTACCATAGTTTGGTGAGTCAGTACAGACGGTTCGAGTCGTCGAGCACGGCGGCAACGCCACCCGCCGATCGACGCGAGTACAACACGCACAATTACTGCTGTTACGTGTGCGGCGTGACGACGTATCGTAAACGAGTGAGAGCTTTACAAATAAAGGTAATTAAATTGCAATTATATGTTCGGCAAGTTATTAATCGTATGTGGGTATTCAAATAGGATTTTCCATTTTTAAAATTCCATCGACAAACGGAATATTCGTTATTGTTGGAAAACGGCGATTTTGCGGTAGTTTGCCTCGACTGCTACGAAACACTGCGAACGCAAAGTTTAGAATACGAACGGTGGGGTCTTCCGTTGGACAAGCGGCAGTACAACTGGATAACGCAGCCGCCTCCGCCCGAAGACAGTCCCGAAGCGACGATTGCTCGACTGCCTAGCGGGCAACGCAGCGATAAAGTTGTAAGTTGATGTTGTTCATATTTATTATTTATGGCGTCGTTTTTTATTTACCTATTTTTCTTTTGTTATTGTATACGTAGGTTCCTCAAACGTTTGTAACCCGTCCAGCGCGCAAGAACTGCTCGCCGAAAGCGTCGGAGCGAAAGCCCAACACTGCCGCGATTCCCAAACCGGAAGTCGGTGAGTACTTTTCGCAGAATTGCTCATATTTCACCGTAAACTTACTGCCGCTGGCGATAGGGGTCGCTTGAACACCTCGATTTACTCGCGCTGCACTCGAGACTAGGGTGAGCCGCCCCCGCGGTGGGGTAGCGCTCGCGCACGCACTCGAAATCACTTACGGCCAGACGCGCCGCGCCGACACGAGCAGCAGCGCAGCGAGCTTGTCAATAAACGCCTTTTTGCGGTTCGCTCGCGTCCCCCGCAAACCGGACGTGTTTTCGCACGCAGTCGTCACCTCACGCCCAAAGCCGGAAAACGTCGACGCGACTTTTGCTCAAATCAAACGTCGTGCAATCAATGGGACACTCGACTATACGCATTTGACATCCCCGACGCATTTCAAGTGTGGCAATTTCGCTCAAAATTACGAAATACACACCAAAATAATAAATTTGTTGGTATTTAGTGCGTTGAAATTCGGAAACAAATTCGTTCTTTCGGTTTTTTGTGAATGTGTGTTCTGTATAGTGCGGTGATTGGTTTCGGCATGGTGCGATTAATTACGCCGTCGCGTATCTCCGGTGTCATCGCTTTCAATTAGCGATTGATTTTTCTCGACGTCGCAGTGCCGTTGGTTTGCAGCCGCGTCGAAAAGTGTATCGCGACACGCGCTGATGGCGAGAGCCGATCTCAACGCGCTTGAGCGACATTGACGCGCCGACCCGCGATTAGACAGACGGGTGCTTAATTATCGCCCACCCCCGACAGATTGCGGCGTGTGTGAGTGAGCGTGCGTAAGTGAGCGCGAAGCGATTAGGAAATTATGGATTTCAAGTACCCGCACTCGCTGCCAAATTATCAACCGCCACATCCGTATCATTACAATCCCGCTGCTGCGGGGGCGGTAACTGCTGGCAACATTAGCGGTAAGCTTATGTCTGGATTTAATTTATTACTTGACTCTTGAATTGGTTTTCCGATGTTCTGAGAAAACCGATCACCGGGCGCGTGTGTATGACATGTTATAAGATATTTTGTGGGATGAGGGTGAAGTGTGACGTGCAGCTCCCCTTGACATAACATAAAAAAAACTCCCCTTTTTTCTGTGGACATATTGCGTGGTTAAGTTTTTTTTTTATATATGGTGATGCAAATGCGAAATGGTAAAAATATTGAGTTTCTCTTACGTGCGAAAATAGATTTGTAAATGCTAACAAGTTAACCGCCCCGCACTGCACGGTCACGTAGTCCTAGTAACCGCTGGGTCTGTGCATGCAAGGGGTGCGTTAACATAGCTACCAACCGCGCGCGGAAGAAGCGCATCTCCTCTATCCCCTCTCCCGCACGCAAAAGTCGGGAAGCGAGAGAACCTGCGTATCACATTGCAATGAATAGAAATAAAACGTTCGCAGCTTCCGATGCAATCCATTGAGCGCAACCGACACCGGCGAAGGTAAACGAGTGTCGAAGTTGGGAGACTGGAAACAGATGGTCGCCGGCGGGTCGGCGGGTGTCGTGACCAGGGTTTGCTGCGCTTTGCTCTTTGACCTGCTTCTCACCGCCGTAGACCGAAGATTTGTCACGTTGACAATTCTGATGTTTAATTTTTAAAACCGTTTATAAATTGTATACATAGTAATTTATTTATCAATGTAGTATATAATTTCGAGCGTTTGTTGAGTGGAGTTGTTGCGGGTCTTGGGTCAATTGCGATAAGGGTTTTTCTTCTTTCTTTTTTTGCAAAGTTTTGTTGCAACGTGTTTACGTTTGATGTGTAATGTTGGGCATCGCGTTGCCGCGCGACCTACGACCTTGCCCCCCAGTCGTCACCCATCACCCTCGCCCTCTGCCGCTTTGACCCACTCGCCGCCTCTGACCTGACCTTTCGCCGATTTATCACCGACGATCATTACAATCACTTTGTTTTGCGCTCAGGTCTATCAACAAATTCCGCGCCACTGAAGACCGCACCAAGCACTACCAATGGCAGCAGCGCGAAGGCGCGATCGTCGAGTGGTCATGCTATTCCCGGTCAAGGATCAGCCCCATCGCCGGCGAGCGCTGCCAACGCAACGTCGCATTCCTTCGCGGCGGCTCTGAGGAATCTTGCGCAACAATCTCTGCCTGGCAGTAGTGTCGAGACAAGCGAGAAAGCGAAAGATTTGTATGCGGCGCCGCCGTCGAATGTTCCTGGCAGTCGCACGGAAACAACGGGAACACCCACGACGCGGTCGGATCCTCAGCTCGCTTCACGTTTACCTACCTTAGGCACATCGGCGGCACTGATGGCTGGGCATCCTGCTGATAGATATCCAGACCTTCGCAGCGGGTTCCAGCCTTATCGGCCTGAGGAACGAATACCAACTTTGCCTGTAGCGCCTGTACCGCCGATGGAAGCTGTTCCCGGGTATCCCTACGGATATCCGCACATGCTGATGGAGGATCAATTGTACTTTGAACGAATGGGTGTCCTCAGACCTCCGTGGCCGCCTATGGGACATCCCTATCTACCCTACGTGCTTCCAAGTGTAGGCGGTGCAATGCCACTGTTCATGCACGAGAGAATGAAGCTGGAAGAGGAACATCGTCATCGTTTGGCCGCCTCACGTAAAGAAGAACAAGCTGAACGCGATCTCCTCGAACAACAACAACACCAAAGAGAGCGGGAGTTACGCGAGAAGGATCGTGCTCTTCGGGAGCGTGAGAGGGAACGCGAGAGAGAACGTGAAAGGGAACGAGAGCGTGATCGGGAACGCGACAAAGTCGCTGCTCTCGCGCGAATTTCTCCCGCGCATCCACACGCGGCGCCATCTCCGCTGATGTTACCAATGCTGGGGCCCATGTTACCACCGCCGAAAGACCTCTACCCTAACCCATACCTACCACCTGCGCGACCGCTCCTCACAGCTGCGCCGCCAGCTAGTTACCCAACGATACCACGCTCTAGCCCTTCTCTTCAGCGGCATTCTCCGCATGCAAGCGCGTACTCTCTGAATTTGACTCAACCTCGACATAGTCCCATCTTGCAACCATCCGGGCCTATGATCAACAACTTGGAACTGCCGCGGCAGGTGCCAATGACGATTGCAAGTCGTACATCGCCGAAACCTTCTCCTCGCGCGTCGCCTAAAGCTTCTCCGAAACCTAATCACACACCGAGTCCGGGTCCTACTCCGATAAGTCATGAGACTGCGACGACGGTGGTGAGCAATAACAACACTCTGACGATTCCTACTGTGCACACAAGAACCCCCACTCCAACAGGGGTGATACTACCGGCGCCTGTACCTGCAGTTGCATCAGTCACAGGTAAACTGATGGGAAACTTGGAGGAGGCTGGGGTTAACGGTGGCGGCATTTTGAGTACCTCACCGATTGCGCTGACGACCAATGTGGGCGCTACGGCAACCACGGCGGATTCGAATCGTGGTGATAATGGGGAAAATGCCTGACAGATCCATGAAGCTCGTGTTGCTTCAAATATCGGTATGTGTATTGCATTTTAGGATTTCAAATGTATCTACTTGCCAATTTATTTAATCAAATATTTGTTATAGGAAGTAAGTTGATTGAACCATTGGTCAAACCGACGCCACCACTTCCACAACTATCGGAGCGGAGCAAACTGTACAGTATCGAATCGCTGATCGTCACCTCCAACAATGAGAAACCCGCGACCCTCCCCGACTGCACGGCATTCGAACAACAATCTTGCAAATACGCGACGACCCCGCTCCACACCAATCGAGATCCGGGTGATTGCGGTCATCTGGGCAACACGCACAGCCCACAGCTGCCGGCACCGTCGCCCAACTACCCGGTGCCCGATACTCCCGACAAGGCGCCAGAATCAGGCCAGCAGCAGCGGCGACGGCCGGCCGCCGCTCATGTACCAAATACCGATGTTCCTATCCACATTACGCATAGTTTAAGTAGTGATAACGACGCACCTCGACAACCTACTAGTCAGACTGATGTTTGCAAGCAAACCGCGGGGCCGGGGGAGGTGCAGGCGGTCGGCAATAACGTGCAGAATAATAACAATCACCACTACGTCAACAACAACAAATCGACGACTCACGACAATAGTGATAGCAAATCGGATGATAGTCTCAAATCATGTGCCAATTCGCAAGAGGAACACACTTCTACGCCGCACCAATCTATGTACAATTGTAACAATATCGAGTCGACCGGAGCGCAAATTACGACGATAAACATGTTATCAACATCAAAGGTATCTCCAGTGGCCAACGGGTACGTGTTGATCGTGCCGCAGTTTAATATGCAAGCCAACGCATCAAATGCACGAGATTTGTTGGCTATCCGACGCACGAGAAGCAAATTAGATTTGGCGGCGAAACGCCGTCGCTTGCGTCGGGAATTGCGCGCGCTCAAGTCTAAGCGGAACGATGTTGCGCTGGAAATTAGAGAAGAGCCGAAAAGTCGGGTGACTATTGAGTACGGCTTAAAGATACACGGATATTCTTCAGAATCCAGTTCGAGTGAGGAGTTCTCCACTGATGTCGAGTCTGATTTGGATCTCGATCTCTGGATACGCACGGGACCGCCTTCAAAATTAAGTATTTCGGAGGATAAGACAGGATTTTTGAATATTTTCGGACTGACTACACATCATCATAGAAGTGGTAAGTTGTGCAATGATTTTAACTTGTTATAGAATTAAGCTGGATTTTTGTTGGTGTAGAAATTGAACTGAAAAAACTGGAACGTAGAAAATGGGCACCGCCTGTACTCCAGTTTAAACACGAAGTAGTGGCGAGCAGAACTGATAGATTAGAATTGCCAGTGCCTTTTGAATCACCTTCGTTGCTGAATCGATCAGCGGACTTTCCACGAAAGGCTGGATTTTTCCATGGGATTGGGCTTCGTACCGTTAACACCAGACAACGGCTTGGTAAGATTGATTTTTCGCACCTTTTATAAGATATTTAATAATTTATATTAAATTGGTAGAGCTTGAAAAGAATTGGCTAAAAGTTGTGCAACAGAGGTTAAAACGCAACGCACTAACTTCGCTAAACAACTTCTATCAACGCTTCGGTGAAAAAGTACTCTCAATGAAAGAAAAAGACGACGTGATCTTGTCGATACCAAAATTTCGAGACAATGCAATGCAAACCGAACTCACCACGGTCACGAACAACTTCCGTGCTGGCCTTCCAAACTTCTTCACTGATTGTTCAAGCACGAATGTAACGAACGTTCTGCGTACAATCCCGCATGCGACACTCTTTTCTAAACACCACATAAATCAAGGCAAATTGCTTGGTGAAAATAACGAGATGATGAACGGCGTGGTGCTCAAGCAGCCGCCCTACAACGAGGTGCATTTCAACGGCACTCTGATGCATGGTATCGTTCCGCCAGAGATGAATCCCGAGGCGCAGATGGCTTCAGCTCGACAGGCCTTCGATCAGCCGGAGCAGCAGCCCAATCAGTCTACGAGCAGCTCGTGCAGCGTGCAGGCGTGTATTACTAGCATGGTGAAGGAGATGGTATCAGGCACTGCGGGAATGACAATAATTGATTGCGATTGTGGTGTCACACCAAGCACGAAAGGAAACCTGCCACGAAAAGCTCTCAAGAAAGCAAGTACGCAGTGTAATCGAGATTGGGCGACATGGCCAGGGCTCAATGAAATGATGACAGTCTATCAGAAATTCGCGTCAGGTACGCAAACACCAATACTAATCAGGAGACTGTTGTTTATTAACTGTTTATTACAGATAGAAACCACGAAATACTATCACTGCAGAAGAAATGCGAACATCAACGACAGATTGTCGAGCAGCAACAAGCAGAGGTAAAACGCTACGAAGCCCGCCAGACGGAATTACGGAAGATTTCTACAACCGGCAACCTTAAGCGTCACAACATCGAGAAGGCCCTGGACCGCTTGACGAAAATCCTCGCGGACTTCAAGCCGTCCGACAGATAACACACGACGAAGGCGCGACTAGAAATTTGACTAGATCTACATCTATACAACCATCGAGACTTATTCGGCGATGTCGTTCAACACGTTTTTACGATTTTAAAAAGCATTTTAATCTCCACTGTGCAATTCCGTACATAGGTTGATTAGCAGCGCAAGAGGTCGACACGTTATACAAGTTTACAACATGCCACACACACGTTTTAAATAACTAATTCGTCGCGCAGCGAAAGTATTAGATTTTATAATATTCCGAAGACATTCATATCTTATTTTTATTTGACGGCGAAAGGCGAAGGCAAGGACGGAATCTATATATCTACCAATTGTTATTGTTGGTACAATGAAGATGACAATTATTTTGTTCGCGAAACTGTGTACATACTACTGTGAAGCATGAGATTTTCATTTCTTTAAAATAATTTTATACACTTTCTAATATTTCATACTTAAAACAAGAAAACACTGTGCTTACCCTCTATTAATTTATAATCAAATCACGAGGATGGGTCGGCGGAGTTTATTTTTTACGCGACGTTAACTAATTTCTATCTTATTTTCTTCAATTGATTGAAGGAGGACAGACGATGAGATTGTATATTGTGTAATAATTTGTACAACTAACTGAGGAAACTAATCGAAATGGAAAAATAATTTTCGTTTTTTACGGGTGATTAGAATTAATTTACTATAATAGTTGCTAGGGGAGCGGAAGGTACGCGCGACGCGACAGGACGAGATAGGAGCGAACGGTGTTCACTGATTCTGTGATAAAACTTTGATGAAAAACAAAATAATACACACAACACAAAATGAACATTTGAAGATTAACTTAAGAGACATACAACCGTGTAGAATATGCGATTACCTTAATTTAATAACGATGTAAATGATGTGTTTCTATGATATATATATATTATATTGTATTAGCGTTAAGTGAGCGAACAGCATTTTTGAGGAAACGCCTAGGGAAAAAGAGTGCGAATCAAATAATTCAAGTTTATTTGTAAGTAAGATTTGACTATATGAAAGAAATCAACGGAAACAGAAAGGCAATTGAATGAATGTAAAAAAAAAACAAATGAAACTGAAACGAAGAGAAACACAAACGACTTAATTAAATGTACAGATCGGACCTATTTATTTGCCGCAGACGTTTGTTCAAGTTATCCACCCGTCGCACATTCCGTTCATATTTTTCTTTCGATATCACTTTTAAGACGAACGTAAGGTGAGTCTTTGATCCTACAAGGTTATTTCGTGACTTTACGTTTGCAATATGCGATAATAAAATAAAACCCCGCCAAGGTCGATCTCCGAGTTATCGGTTATCGTGCGGTGTGCGTTGCGTCGCTTAACCTAGCAATCCAAGAAGTTAGCAGCCATCAGCAGTTCCAGAGCGATTTCTGGGGCAATTGGGAATTCCGGGATCTCCGTCGAGCTGTTAGTGTAGCGCACCTTGTACGTGAAGTACATGCACACCTTTTGCAACACATGTGACCTGGTAAATACAATTGATATTAGTTTGTTGTTGTCATTCAAACAAATGCGTTTCTTACGGAATTTCTCTAAAGTTGACTTCGTTTGCTTCATTCTCGGCGAATTGCCCAGGTCCACTCAACATAGCCTTAATCGTGCCGGAAGTAAGCGCGTGCTCGCGTTTGACGATGAATTCGTGCCCATCTGAAGAGATCAGCTTTACATACATTGCATCAGGACCCTCACAGCCACCATAGACGCGGTTCTCAGACTTGATGGAAATAACATTCTCGTCGATTTCGGTCATACTGCTCATCTTATGGAATCAATACGGGTGTTTCTGCACAAGGTAAGAATAATATAATTATTTCTCAAGTGCATGTTTTCATAAAAAAAAGTTAACAGTCATTCCCAGACGAAACATAACCTTTGCGTTTCAAAGAAACAAGTGTAAAAATAAGTTTAAGGGGAGTATCTACAAAAAATTGTTGTTGGGTGATAGTTTACCTTGTGATTGATGCGAATACGCAGTGTTGATTATCGTGGGGATGGTAAATGTGCAGTTTTTTGCGGTAATCTGCGATTGTTGTTACACTCCCCTCGACCGCTCAGACTACGGCACGAAACACGTACGAAACATACAGATTATTGGTTAAATCAGGCAGATGGCGACACTGGTTGCTATTGAAGAGCTTAATAATTGCACTTAGTTTTAATGAAATTGTGGGTTCATAAATGGTTAATTTACTTAATAATTAATAGATATTTAAACATTGCTATAAATTAGTTATTATTGATAGTAACTAATGTGTTATTTACTTTGGTTGCTTATAAATCATTCGGACAAAATTTGTTTGACGTAAATATGCTTAATATAAAGATCGAAAGTGCTAACAGATTAAATCAAAAGAAAGCGAAAGATGAGTTGTGACTGCTGAAACAAGTACAAGTAACGGGAGTTTATTTGAGATAGGAAATAATGCAATTAAGTTCATCTTCATTTTTGTATTTATTTCTTTCTGATATAATGCATTTATATCAAAATCAATTTGATCTCCTAATCGAAATAATTATCTTATATAAACAATATTAACAATTCCAATGTTGGCTGCACTTTGCGTGTTACAATACATTACATATTACTTTATTCAAACAACAGCAGCGAAGCTGAATGAAATTTCTTAAAATGCTTCAAAGTTATCAAAGTTATACGCAAATCAATGCTCTACATTATATTCATCATCATCAATGATAGCAAAATTGAATGTTTCTTGACATTATGCAAACATTTAAAAAGGTTAGCTTGCGATTTAACTGAAAATGGATTCCTCCTCAATGGTTCATGGGGCTCTGTGTGTCCCCAACCCTGGGAATCCATTACGATAACATACCGACTTTAACAATATCGTGTTATCGAGTATCGACACGTTACTTAATCCCAATGACTGTCACGAGCAGCCGTATGGCTCGCATTACTAGCCACGTACGTCTTATATACGACTTACAAGGATTAATTTTCAATTCTCAAACAATATGCGTGTTCATACACGTACAAGAGTCCATTACGGATGTCCCGCAGGACGTTCATCTCGGCAACTTGACCACCGGCGAGGGGTATTCCTCGAGGGTGGCCTCGTAGAAATCCGCGAGCGATTGCTCCACGTCATTCATCGGTGGGCTGTAATTATCGTCCTCGTTCCATGGAATGGTGAGGTCTCTGGTAATAATGGCGCATTGGCAACCAACACCGCCGCCGCCATCCGATGTTGTTCCGCAAAGTTCTGCGAGTTTTTCACTGCTGTCTACCTGCAAAAATAGAGAATAACCTGGTTAGTTAAGTAATTAGCATTGTTTCCATATGTAAATTCAACGCGCGAACTTTTTACAACGGGGCTTATATTGAAGTTGTTTTGAATGCTGTTGAAATATTGTGAAATTCAAGGCATCAAGTGCTTGATGTGTTGATTTTAAATACTGCCAGTCATGATGAGTTTAGAATATTAAGCATATAAAAAAATACGTGAACTTACTTTAATGACAGGAATGTAGTTTTCATAGCAAAAAGCTTGCAATAAGACAGTTTGCAGATGTGCGCTGGAATCACCTGGTCTACTTTCAGCTAGCAGACACATGATCGTCTCGTCAGCAGCTTTATCCAAACACGCGATTGCCGGCAACAAGCCGCAGATAAGGCGGCTGTCCTTGCGTGCCTCAGCAAGGACTGTGCGGATGATTCTCCCCAGACGGTTGCGGTTCATTTTCGGGCTATCCTCACATACGGTGTCTTCACCATCGCTGCCAGCCCCGTTGCACAACTTGGACATGCACATGTTCTCCAATTTGTTATTAGAATGTTCGTTGAGGGTAGTAATTTTTAAAGAAACTGCTGTTTCTTCTTTGGAACTAATGTTTAGATCGCTTAGATTGCGTACGTAATCACTTGTTATTAATTGCACAATGATAACAATTGTTTAATAATATTGTGTAATCCGGTGTTTTTAAATTTGCGAGTTGAGCACACTAGTATCCGTACGATGTGTACACGTAACTTACTCGGTTCAAAATGATGCAAGGACAACGACGCGCGCGCTTTTTGTAGTTTCGGTCGGCGGCGCTGGTGGGGGTTTGGAGTGAATTCCGCGCTCGGGCAATTCAGACGAAGTTTGAGCGGTTGTGTGTGTGCGTGCGTCTGACGTGTTCGAGGAATCCCCGGCGCGAAAGCGAGCGCCAAGCGCGATTGCGACGCGTCGTGGCAGGTCGAGACATGCCCGGATTCGAGGGACGCCCGGCGCCGCGTACGCGAGATAGAATATCACATGCTCCGACATGATGCTGGAGGCGAGCGAGCGTGTATCTCATGTTTTCTCTCATGTTGCCGGCGCGGCGTGGCAGTGGATGGGAGGTTTCATTCATGAATCGATTCAGCTTACGGCGTGTACTCCGACCGTTAATGCTCGTTATTGCGTGGAATTTTTTCCGAGAAGGTTAATCTCACTAGGTGTGGACCACCCTCTGTAACGGCATTACAAGGGGAAGTCACAGAAAAGCTCGCCGACTAATTTTTACCGAATCCTCATCGGGTGGCATCCTTTTAATTTTTGCCGCTTTATTTAGGACAATATTGAGTATATTTATCAATTTAGGCCACCAGTTATGTTAAAAAAACATGTTTTGCTTAATGGAAAAAATAAAATCCTGTGAATCGCGACATCATTTAAATCCAACCTTCCGAGAAGCTAGAAATATTGAATGTGTTGAGTTTGAAATTCAGCGCTTCGCGGAAAAGCGCCGTGATAAAAATTCAGAGCGTTTTACGAATACCTAACTAATAAATTCTAGGTCACCGTGTTTGTTATGCAAACAACTCAATATTTTGCACAAATTTTCAGGTAATTGTTTTGTATCGGTATGCAAAATGTAATTTTGCGATGATTTGCTTATCTGTTGCATCATTATTTCATCATTTGAGCAGTTGGCATCGATATCAATTGTTATATTTATCTGGCATCGCCAAAATTGGCGAAATCTGTTCATATTCGCCTATTCACCTAGCCGTAACCATAAAAAGCCATCATCGTTAAATGCCGATTCACATGCTCGTTATTTGCGATTAGTGTTATCTCAGGTCTACCTGGAACGTGATGTTTATTTTGCAAAGTATCAGTCGCCGCGTGCTTGAATTGTTATTTGATTTTGAGATCTGAATGGGCGTAACGAGTATTGAGCGTCAATGTTAACAAATATTGTGTATGCATAGACACTCTAAGTAAATTCAGGTTAAATGTTACAATATAAACAATTTGTTACAATTTAGAGCACATTTCTGCTTCTTTTGATGCCAGCGATAATCAGAATCGTAATAAATTATTTTACGCTTTTATTATTCTGTGTAGGTACTTGGGACACATCTCAGAATTCCGCATTTCTTTAATGTCTGTGTATATACTCGTAGTTCGACGAACGCTCTCTCCCTACAGTGTTCTGCACGGTCAAGGCCGCAGAATCTTTCGTTTCGCGGAAATTCCCGCGCACGAGCGCCGCCCGCGTGTCCTCACCCCATTTCTCGCGTAACGCCTCCACCACAATTGAGCATTTCAGCGTAAAACGTCGTTAGATGACTGCATGTATACAAACATTCGATGGTGTATGTAGGTCACTGATCGTTCCATTGAAAAACGAGACAGGACCAACACATACAGACGGTTTTCCGCCGGCGGAAAATGGCGGGACGTCGCCTGAGTGTAGGGGTTAGTCAATATATCGATTTGTACCACCACCAGTACAAGTGGTGGTGTGATCACGCCACTGCGTAGTCTTGGAAGTGTAGGCGGCACATTACGACGGTTTTCCGCGAATTTTCCACCACCACCTGCGCTCGCGCCACCCTCGCACGATTTTCCCAGTCAATACATGCGCGACAACAACAAATATTATCTAATAGAATCTAGTTCCTACGTTTGTGTCTGTGAATTTTCACCAAATTGAAAACCGTCTGATTTTCAGGAATTTCAGTAAATGATTGTTCAAAACAACCGGCAGTTAAACGTTTCCGCTTATTTATTGTGACATTTATTAATATTAAATATTGACCCAGAGTCTCTTCCTTAATTATTACAAATATTTATCGCTGATAACTCTATGGCGCATGGAAATTAATTTGCTAAGGAATTTTTTTTCACTCGCTGCAGATTAGATTGTTTATTTATTTTATTGCATTTCGGATGTTTACGGAAATTTTTACAAATACTACTATTACTACACGCTACTTAAGACCGCATACAAGCCAAACACGATCATAACAATTTTGGCTTTGTATTTGACTTGGTGATAAAGCAATTATTCCACCACGCGGTGGAACATTGACACGGTCTGGGGTCTGCAGATGCCGCATAAAAATCAAAACAATTCCGAAATAAATTATTCCATTAGCTTAGCATGTGCGGCTTAAGTAAGTACTTTGTGTGGCGGCTTTGCACTGCATTGTTTTTGTTTGTGGTATGCGCGTCTGCAGGCAACCATACGCAATGTCTACAATCTTTCCGATAGTCTTTATACCGGGTGTGTATGTAAACATTGTTAAATACGCATTGGAAACTTTGACCAAATGCAAACTTGTTTGTGAAATCGTGAAATAATAAAAATTTTCTGTGCGGAAACATTCCGTTTGTAAAAAGGCGATGTTATCGTCTCGGCCTAATCACTTGTAACTTCTATTCAAACTGGTTTACGATTATGTACTTACTATTGGGACACGTTTATAGGACGTTTACCTTGCCATCATTTCTTGATTTGTTTGTTTACTTTTGAGACAATTAGCTTAACTTTTTAATTTGTTTTTTTTTATATTGCGTTTTTATTTATTTAGTTTTTATTCCGATAGGAAAGTTTCCTTATTTTTATTGTTATTTTTTTTAATTGATGGTATTGAAAGCGGATTACTCATGATGTAAAATGTAAACAATAATATCGCAGTATGACCTGTAAGTAGAACTTAATATGTAATGGAGATGAATAGGATTGCGATGAGTCACTGAATCACCCGCAATACTGAGCAAGTTGGTTAAGTGTGTGTGCGGCCGGCGTTGAGAGGAATTTCAGTCGGAAATGTTTCGAATTCCTACCGCACGCGATCGACCAATCAGTTACCTTTAAAAAATGTTTCTGATGCGCTTTACCTCTTTTTTCATGTAGTTATGTCTTAATTGTCATAAGTAGTGTTTAGTTTCATTACTTTTCTACAGTTTTTTTTTTTTGTGATTTTTATAACCTTGATCGTGAACTATGAAACAGTATAACTCATAGCTACTAAAACTATGATTTTTTATTATCAATTCCGGCGTCCAGACCATGACTTTGACATTGATTGTGTGTAGTGCTTTTTGTTGAGTAATAATCATGCGGATCTGAAAATCATGTGACCGGCCAACTGACAGAAAATCGAAACTAGTAAAACGCTCAACTATAAGTATGACTAACTCTAGGGAATGCGTGTTATTCGCAAATTCGTATAATTCACCTGTGCAATATACAATACACATAATGCCTACGCTGTAGGTGTAGTTGTGAGTACACATTGTGTTGGTGAAGCATGATTGTTGTGACTGTGCATTTAAAATTAATGAGTAATGCTTTGTTTACTTGCGTTTACTTACACTTTACGCGTGTGTTTAGTGTTTATTCAAACGCGTAAGGCGATGTCACTGACATTTTGAACTTTATCTTGTGCAATTATTAATTTTTAATCAATTATCATGTTAAAATTGCAAATATTATTATTAAATAAAGGTGACAGTTTTTATAGGAAGTCAACATAACCTCTAAAACGTAGTATAGCACTATGGAAATTTTAGTTTTAAGTTTTAACTGGTTTTACTTTTAATTATATTTTATGAATGGGTGCGTTGTTTTGGTAGCCGGTGCCAAATCTATCATTAAAATTTCACTTGAAACACACAGGCGGCGGCGTCGCGGGAAAATTTACCTCTCAGTTTAAGACGAATCGGAAAAAATCATGAAAATGAAAACTAAAAATAATATTCGAAGGATGCATTACGAGTTTTCTGTTTTATGATTAAATCATACATCACAGCAGTCACATCTTACATTTTATGTATAATAATAAATCCACTGCCAATGTCGTTTGGCAAAACTTTTTAAAACTATTATATTTAGAAAACTAAAACGTTTCTTAATTTCCTTGTATACAAAATAAGTTAAAACAAAGGTCAAGATGGCAACGACTCATTAAGTCTCGTGTATAGATAGATGCAGACACTTTGCATAAATAATATAAATAAACTTCAATAGTAACTGAACGTTGCTATGCGTGTGATGATTTGTCGCGTCAGGCGGACTTAATATTATCAGCAATAAATTAGCACTCAATTTTGTCTCTCGCGCGTAAGTACCGTTTTACGGAATAATTGAATCATTTTCTCGTGCGTGTTACGACGTTGCTGACTATACCGCCACCGGGTTACGATGCATAACAATCGCTTATTATTATACTCGTACGTATGCATCGTCATTATGCATGAAGAGCGATAACGCGGTATCAATGTACAACGTACATAATGCGAATTGCGTACAATAGTCGCATAAGATGTCAACAGAAAGTTTCATGCAGTATTGATTTATAATTATTACGTTCTGCTTAACTTCCAGTGAATTAGTTTGGTGTAAACAGATCGTAGAAATTACAAATTCCATCTGCGCATCGGTTTGTTGTTGTCGGTAATTGTTTACATAATGGTACATCATTTTATTTTATAATTGATTTCTCGGTTTTCATTTGCATGTAAATAACGTTTTGTGCTGTTTACTGGCACAGAATTGAGGTGACATTTATTCGTGCTACTGTTTTGATACGCACATCACAACATTGCAGATGGTATTCGGGGATTTATTTACTTATTTGCCTCTTATTTGTGTTGGCGTTTGTGCAAACCGCAGCGTATACCACATAAATGTTTGATTAAACTAATCCGCGGATGTAACAATCACGAGTGAATTCACGAGTTTTCATTACTCGTGATGAGTGTATATGTTATCAGTACTGAATTTTTTCATAATTCAAGTGTCTGTTTTAGTAGCCTGTACAATATACATCTCCACTTATCATTATCTAGTGTATGGTTGTATTTGTTGCGTGTTTTAAGCATGTTTGGTTTTGCTGGATTGGGAATTCCCCACGTTTCCGTTGTTGGACTGCGATGAGTGCGTTCCGTTTTAACTCGATGCTGTTTGCAAATGCTTATAAGGCTTGGTTTTGCGGTTTTACCGCGTGCCGCGCGCGCGTTGTGTTTTACTCTTTTTACCTGGCAGCCAGGTTGAGGTTACTCTCACTCTCGCTGGAGCTCAGCACGTTCGTAATCTCAAGGAATTATTACATAAATAATCGCGTTGCTGCAATTGGGAACTTTGGAGTTCCGAGAAGGAACTGAAATGACCTCGTTTTCATTAATTTTAAGTTTTTAAATAATACGAAAGTATTAATTCACGTATTTTAAATATATGTCACTAAAGACACGTAAGAAATTGGAATTTCTATATCCTTTTAATATATAAGTCACTAATCCATTACTTAGTAATATTTATTGCTTTATTGTGATATTACTCAAATAATTGGAGTTTTGATGTTTGATTCGCACGCTTATCTCGCTTATCAAATTTCAAGTGGCAAATATTTGCACGTTACACCTACTAAACTAAATATTGCCAGTTTACACACACCGTTTAATATTTTCCATAAACCGCAAATATGCGTGGCACTTGACGTGTGGATGGTGGAGTTTCGATTGTGAACTTCCTTTGTTGCTATTTTTAGCGCAATTACTCACTTGTTACAATTTCCCCGGCTGTATTTTTAGCTCAATAATGCTTAGATTTAGAATGTTTATGGTACTCACTCATTACGTCTCTAGTCTCAAAATTAAATCAATATTTTTTAACGTTTGCGTTAATAAAATCACAAAGGCGACTATATGAATATGTATAGTTTATTTTAAAATATTTTTACAAGGTGACTGGCGACGATATATTTGAAACTGCAGGGAAATAAAAGTGACTCTCGGAAATCGGTGATTTTCATACAAATCACCTGTGACTATAACTCGAGCAGGCTGCCAATTTTATCTTGTGTTAATGTTTAGATGTAAACTGCGTGAATGTGTACACTACACGGCTAGTGTATTTTATTTTTAACACCGGGATTTAATGCGCAGCGCGGTGTCGCGTTTCCATCGCGCTTTTCGTGGAAACGCGGGAAACGCGCGAAACGGACAATTAACGCGTTGATCTGCGTGCGTACCAGTGCCAAGCGTTTACGAGTATATCAGTCGGTTCTTGAAATTTTAAACGCGCGCGTGATTGCGCTGTTTTTGAAACTTCACAGTAATGATAAATAAAGAGCAAACAAACGGGTGCTAAGCATTGGAGCAATTTATGGGTTACACACCTCTTAATTTTTAGCAGAACCAGACCTAATTGAAGGATATAAATTTAATTCTTCTCCTAATTTTTCTTTCCGAAAGATTTATGATGTACAAAGCACAAAAATGTGCTTTATAGCTTAATTTGATAAATATTACTTTAATTAATTAATTTATATGCTGTTATTTTATCAAATTCATACATTATCTGATATCATTCTTGTGTGATTGCACCTAACTGGTGCGTGCGACACACAGTATGACGCGTGCTCGAGTGCAAACACTTATATACAAATATAACAGTACATACGGGTACTCAACGCGCATAATTAAAACGCTCGATATGAACATTTTGAATATTATGACCTGCCAACTTCTACAAGTACGTAAATTGTATTATGGAAATGAATGAGCATATAAACTCAATTAAATACGCACAAAGAGGTATGGTAAACTTACCTTTGCGTTCATATAATCCTATAAAGCTCGAAAAGTTTCATGTCTAGGTAGTTATAATGCAAAGTGAGTGGGATTTTTGCTTCTACGTCAATGGTACCACACGCAAGACCCACACCCACTAAACAAACGCATAACTATGAATTTTCTTAATTGCTTACATATATTATTATTTTAAAAATTTCCCCAAAGTGAAAAAGTCCATCCACATGAAATTTGATGGTTTTCAACGTGGAATTTGTACGTTTATAAATAGCACGCGCATTTTATTTATGACTTTGATTGTTATTAACCTGCGTTACTGCGCATTGTTTTATTCGCGGCTGGCAGTTAAAATAGCCAACACTTGAAATATTTTCAGGATGTGTATTGTGTGTGTGTTAAATGTTGCTGCTTAACCTATCGCAATAAATTTTTGTGATTCACAAGACGCATGTAACACGTAATATCAATGACGTCTATAGTTTTATTTGCTTAAGCAATTCACTTCAAAAACGTTCGCAGGATGAAAGTTTAGAGGTTTAGTCATATTAATATTTTTAAACTTTTTTATTGTAGAGTTTAACTTTGCAATGAATTTCCGTATTGTCGTTCATGTCCTGCGCACTAATTTAAAGTGGGTTAATATCTAGTGTCAATATTTACGTCTGAAAATTGTCTGATTGTGCGTTATTTTTCGGTGGCGCATTTATTTTTTCAGCGCGCACAAAATCATAATAAAACAAACGTGTTTATCGCGAAAAGTTGCACGCCGACCTGTTAACCTGCTAAGCGTTTGTGTCGTTTAAACTTCGCATCAAGACATGGCGTATTGATGTTGATAGTGTTTAAGCGAATTTATTAAACTGCGCATAGTAATTTCTACGGCGCAACGCAATCAATTAGCTTTTGTTATTCTCTGATTTGTTAACATTAACTCATTAATTGACTTCCATTTGAAACAAATGCCAATCAACAGCGGCAAATTACTGAATATCTTATCGCGTAAATAGTAAATATTTGAAACATATTCATCACTTTTATTTCTTTGTTGATATTGAGTTTTTAAATTTGCTTTATAAAATTGAAACTAGCAATCTGGGGAATAATGTCAAGGTTTCATTAGGTTTGATTGCGTAAGACTTTCTAACGTACACGATAAATGAAAGTAGATTTCATTCAACAAAATATACGGCGATAATTTAACCATGCGTATTTGAAATGATTAATTACTCACTAGTATTGTACCATCGTTGATTTATGGTATGCAACCCATTATACTAACTATGAAGCATTGAACAATTAAATAAATATACTTTTGAACAACTTGTCGTGTTTAACAAGTGCAATGCAACGCGTAACACTGCCCTACATTATAAACATGTGCCGTTTTCAGCATAGGGTGTAGCCTCGCCTGGAATGATCTTATGATTTAGTTTTGTGATTTTCATACGCCGAAGCATTGCATTTATTATTACGAGGCACTGATTTCGCTTTGTTTTAGGGCTCTAGAAATTAAACTGGACTTTACAGGAGAGTCATTCTTGCTTCAAATTGTAAGTATTGCAAATCTTTATTATATCCATGATTTAGTTTTGTAATTCTATCAGGGGATGACTGTGTCGCTATAATTAAATATATCGTATGTTAACTCGGGAACCGTTTATGTCATTTTAAGGTTTTTCTTATTTTTAAATAGCGCGAGAGTTTCTCCCGCAGATGCGTCATTGTTGCCCCTTAAAATCTGGCGCAAAATGTGTGAAAACCACCTTTAAAATTGTTAGAATGGGGGTCACTTCTACCGCTACCCTCGTATGGTGCCCTGAATAAAGTGACTTCTACCGCTACCTTCGTACGGTGCCCTGAATAGGAGTCACTTCTACCGCTACCCTTGTACGGTGTCCTGAATAAAGTCACTTTTACCGCTACCTTCGAATGGTGTCTTGAATAAAGTCACTTCTACCGCTACCCTCGTACGGTGCTCTAAATGGGTATCGCTACCTTCGTATGTCGTTTATACGAATAAGAGAGAACGTCCACAATCTTTTCATTGCATTGGACTGCATCCACAACATGAATTGTTCATAGTTCTCACTTTTGACTCTTATCGGTGTTTGTGTACAAACAACTTGTTTTTTTAAATGAGTTGCTGCTCGTCCGGTGCGCTCAGTAGTATTTGTTCTATTTCTTACTTAGTCGTTCGTGTGCTGCGGCGTGGTGTGAATGCGTCTATTTGAGCGGCGATTTTCGTAATGACTTATCGCATTTCATGTGATTTTAAAAAGAAAACATTTAGAATTACCAGAGAAGTGCGGCGTATAGTTATTGAGATATCGTGCGTCCGGAATTGCAAAATACGCAGGTATTTCCCGTCAGCCTGCGAATATCTTCTGTCGGCTAAGAATTCCTAGTGGTTTTGTTTTGTGTATTCATTAAATTATTAGTTTGAATAAGATTTTTGATCCTTTACACCCTGAATTTTAATTATTTTCTTGTTTTAGCTTATAAAGAATTTTACAAATTTTCATTATGTTTAATTCTTTGGCTAGCAGCTTTTAGTTTAGATGATATTCGTTACCGAAATTACTTAATGATGCAGCAATATTTTTTGTTATTAATTTTTCTCATCTTATTTTACAAATTTTATTATCTTATTATATAAATTCTATTTTTTTGAGGTTTAACGTTTTAACGAGACCTTACGGATATCTTGGCCCAGCTGTGAACTGCATGCTTCTTCTAGAAAGCTTCTTCAACGATTTCAAGATTCTATTAAATTTTGACAGGCCAAGAGGTATTTATTTATTTCTATTTTGCAAGGTGTAGTGTTACAATTATAACACTGTAACACATAAATGGAAACAAGTATAAGTTTACTGCCATATTAACGTGTATTATAAAGTGTAAAGTACGCTTTACAAACAACATGTGTGTTAACTAAGCCTCGGTAGGTTGACACAATCGACACAATTATACATAAAGTATAATATATAAAACATAAATATATAAAGATTTACATTCGTTTTTATTAAATTAACTTATATAATTATTTATTTCAATTTTTTACGTAGTGTTATAAATGCTTGGTGGTATTTTACTGTCCTACATACATATAAAGTGTGAGTAACCTTTACAAAAACGTTTCTGTTGAATGAGCCTTAGAAGAGGTAGATAAGAAATACAACTTAAACTATCCGGAAAACACCCCCAAACTTCAGCAATACTTCGCTTTTATATTACTTCTTGCTCGTTGTTATGCTAATAAAGTTTTGTTTTCACCTCAGGTGAATATGGAAGCGGGTCATCAATCTGCACGGGCCTACCGCGTCTATAATCCTGAAGCTTTGATTGAGAATCAGTAACAGTCCATGACGAGAAGCGTCTTTTGGTTTCTTCAGAACGCGCTAGGATTTTCGAACTTGTTTCTTACTGTAAGTGATGGAATTTTATGTTTTCCTAATCTTAAAGCTAAAAAAAACTAGAAATTTATAAATTGCATTTTAACACTCGGATTTTTAGATTTACCTTTTTACTGGGGAATTCCATGGATTTGGACGTAGCATCAACATCTTACATTTTGCGATACACAGAGGCCAGAAGACCGGGCGAAGAAGAAGAATGAACACCGTCAAACGTGGCCATATTTTTGCTGCCTTTAATATAATTGGACCAAAAAACAGCGCAAAACTTGTGTTTCAAATGGAATTTGGCTAAAAAAGACATCGCAGAACTATTGTTATAAACTTATTACGCTTGTTAAAAGGCAACATTAAGACTGTACACTGCTGTAGCAGTGGGAGGCGCTAAGTATGTTAAATGTTATTTGTCACATGTGAAATTACGTTCTTAATACTATGTGAAGATTGTTAAGTTCAATGTTGGAAGGACTTATTTTTACTTGTTTTAGGGATTTTGCACCTTAGTCTGACATCCTAGAAGAACCATTCTTGCATCAGATTGTAAGTATTTAATTTCATTATCATTTTCCTAAATTACTTTTGTGATTATCCCACAAATTGACCCCCAAAATTGCATTTTTATGTTGGAAGGACTAATTTTTGCTTGTTTTAGGGATATTGCAGCTGAGTCTGACATCGTAGAATGACCATTCTTGCATCAGATTGTAAGTATTTAATTTCTTTATCGATTTCATAACTAATTTTTGTGATTAGCTCATGAATTAGGACAAAAATTACATTTCTGTGTTGCAAAGGACTTCTTTTTGCTGGTTTTATGTGTTCTGCACCCGAGCCCGATATCGTAGGAGAACCATTCTTGCATCATATTGTAAGTATTTAATTTCTTTATTATTTTCATACATCACTTTTATGAATAACTTATGAATTAGCGAGAAAAATATACTTTTTGTGTTTCGTAGTACTGATTTTGCTTGTTTTCGTGGTTTAGCACATGAACGCGTCATCCTCGTAATATCAGCGAGGTCCCTAAGGATGTAAAATTTAATTCTTCATGGCGTTTTATTCTAATGTCGTAAGACATGTACCTGTAGATCGTGTATTGTTTGATAAATTGTACGTTTCGTACGTTGTTATGTCGATATCTTGTAACTGTTTGTTTTCATTTAGTCATTTTGAATAGTTTTTGAATTATATATAACATGGATTGTGTTTTATTAATTATCGTTCAAGCGAGTGAGATAGAAATATCAGGATAAGGTGATAGCAGGTGAGTTAGAATATGATAGCAATAGTCTAAATATCATGTTCAATCCATGTTCTTTATATGATCTGCAGAATTTGCTACACTTTGTTTATGCTTTCAGTTCGACCTTGGGTTGCGCAACTCGGTGTGCGCTGCCATTTGAAATTTGAACAGCACCGCACCGGTCGCCGTGTGTCGTCGGCTTCTGGTGAGAATTCGCTATACTGCTCAGTACATCTTGCGCTGGCGTATTGGCTGCTGTTTTTCCCTGTTTAGTCAGTCGGTGCTACGCAATTGTGCTGTGTGCACGTGTTCTGTTTCACCACCGGTCTTCATCGCGAGTGTTATCATTTCGGGAGACTTTAATACGCTGCGAGCATTAGAATCGTTTAGTCATCGATTGCTTTCAACTACTGAACAAGTGATTTATCTCAAATCGACTCTAGACTTAAGACACCACTTGCGCGTGCTTAAGCCATCAGCCGCCGGGCGTCGGATCTCTTTCGTTGGGCTACGGATTCTAATTGGATTTATAGGCCAAATTGGTATTGTTAATTAGAGGGGATAAATCACGCGTTCTCTCCGCGTGGCATAATTGTTAGTGCAAACGTTATAGAGTGAGTAGTAACATCAATTCTACTATCAGTTCTACTTTGTGTGTAACGTTTGATAAGAGAGCGTTGTGGGTTGATGCCGGTGCTACGCATTTGTGCTGTGTGAACGTGTTCTGTTTCGCCGCTGGTCTTCATCACGACTGTTAGTATTTCGGGAGACTTTAATAGGGTGCGAGCATTAGAATCGTTTAGTCATCGCTTGCTATCAACTACTGAACAAGTGATTTATCTCAAATCGACGCGAGACTTAAGACACCACTTGCGCGTGTATAAGCCATCAGCCGCCGGCCGTCGGATCTCTTTCGTTGGGCTACGGATTCTAATTGGATTTATAGGCCAAAATGGTATTGTTAATTAGAGGGGATAAATCACGCGTTTTCTCCGCGTGGCATAGTTGTTAGTGCAAACGTTATGAGTGAGTAGTAACATCAATTTACTATCAGTTCTACTTTGTGTGTAACGTTTGATAAGAGAGCGTTAGGCTTGATGGTACGTGTAGGATATAATTTGAATCAGAATGCAATGTTCGTTTTATTAAAAATGGAGAATGTATTGTTAAATACAATTAATAAAACTCAATTTAAAATTAAAATATTATTCATTCTTCTTGTGATATCCTCTTTGTTGTTTCAGGATATGCGTCTTAAATCATATTTCATATGAAGCTTATGTGAGGGGCAAATATAGCTAAGGTATGTTGTTGTTTTTAAAAAGTTGAATAAAGTAGAAACATAAATAGAAGAATCAAATATTAATGACAAAAACACTCGGTGGCCGAGTGGAGATGTGCACCTGCTGGCATGCCAGCAGACACGGATCGAATCTCAGGTATAGAAGGCATTTTTCTCAAATATAAAAATATCAGGTGTAATTTGGGTTGCATATATAAATTGCAACAAAATATGAGAGAAATTGAAATACAAGTGAAGGCAATATGAGAAGTAAGAAAGCAAGTGGAGGAGCAGAGAACAGAAATATAGGAGAAGTAGAAGAAGGAATAGCAGAGAGAGCAGAAGATAGAAGGAAGAGAATAGAGTAGAATAAGTGAATAGAGTAGAAAGAGTAGGAGATAGAAGAAAGAGAAACGGGGAGAGGATCAGATTTTTAAATTTTTGGCGCGTGTCGTTATATAAGACAGTCTACGGTCGACGTCTCCCAGAGCGCCGGAGCTTCGGTCTATCAGTACTCCCCGGCCCATCCTACAGCTACGATGTCTCTGCGCTTCATCCCAGAGTATCAAGGCATATCAACAATTTTATGGTGGGATTTTGAGTGGGAGAGGCTCCTTATAGGGACATCCTTTTAAGAACTTATAAAAATATTTCATAAGTTTTAAGTCGCCTCAAGTGAAGAGGTGACACTTAAAAATATTCTTACAAGTTCTGACTGTCGCTGAAATGAAGAAGGTACACAAAATCACACAGGATACCTTAACAATTTTTATAGTGGGGATCATCCCCTGAGAGAGGAATATACTTAGAGACCTGTTCTGAAATGATAGAAAGGGTACACAAAAATCAAAAGAAGTCAATATATCTTACTATTTCTTTATTAACAATAGAATACAAAGGTTAGATTTTACGAGTCAACAAAATATATAGCTCCATATTGAAACAAGACTTACGACCTCCATAGCCGCGCACATGCCAGCAAGTACTACTTCATAAAAGTTCTACCAGAAAATAAGGAAATTAGGAAATAGATAATTAGTAATTTTGTAGGTGATTGAAAATGGAAACAAATATACAGGGTGTTACACAAGATAAATTTAAAGTGCAAACAAAGAAACTCAATACTACAAACGCCGCTTTCGTTTCACTCGACGTTCAGGAAACTAATATACAGGGGTATTTCCAGAAGAAAATTTAAGTGCAAATGTAAAAACAACAGCTAAAGCAACATTTCACGGACACAAGAAAAGAAACATATATACAGGTGTTCTAGAAAAGAAATTCCATATTAAAAACAGAAAGTACTCAAAATTCACAACTAAAGGTGATTTTTCCCCACATTGCTATTTAGGAAAACTAATATACAGGGTGTTATAAAAAATAAAAATTTTAAAACTACAAGGAGTTAATATTCACAATATGAAGAAGAGCAGAACTTGACAAATTAACAACAATACTTTAATAAAAATCAGAATTTTACCCGAAAACATCGGAAAATTGAGCAAAAGGGTGCTACAAAAATAAAACACTACATTTTTATATATTGTGAAGAAATATTTATTAATTGATGGTAGCATCAACTGTATAAAGAAGAATATCCGGCGAAAACATTTAAATCAACAGAAGGCAAGCGACGGCGCCTAGCAACTTACAATGGTTATAAACGATAAAAATACTAACAAATATTAATATATATACTGGGAGACTGCGAAAACGAAAAACTATTCACCGTTCGAAGATATTATTTCAACAAGAAATGAATTAAATTACTGATACAATTTTGATTGAAAATGTTTACGTGATCATCAAGAAAACATGACCGAACCGACGGCCGACGACTTAGAAATTTAAGCGTTGTCGACCACATAGAAAATTGTCATTTTAATAATCCTCAGATAATTTTAAAACTGTGCCTTAATAATTAAGTCAATCCTGTTACTTTCCGGAAACGCGACTAAAAGAATTCTGATAAAAATGCCACCACGTGTTTGCTTAATTTACAAATTAATATCCCACAAATTGAATAATAATCAATTTAAGTTAAAACCGCTTTAATTTTCCACTTGAAAAATTTTTAATTAACCACCCACACCTGTAAATTGATGAGGAAATTTTTCTATCCTGTAATATATTCTATCAACTGAAAACTCACTCCCTTGCAGGGATTAGCGGACACTTATTTGGCTACTCACTTAAGAAGACTCTAACCGCCATAGAAATGGTAAACAAAATAGAACACATGCCCATTGCAGGCTTATTTTGCCGATGGCCGAAAAGAATACCCGACGATTAATCAATTAAAACCTCAAAACGTGGCGATTAGAGACGATGCGCGCAGACCACGCAGTGAAAACAACTGTCGTGTGCGCTGCGCGTGGCGGAGCCACAAGGCAGGTATGCAGCGATATCACGAGTCAGAAACTAAAATTTACAATCTTGAAATGCACATACACGAAATTTACTTTACTTTCAATATTTCTCTGCATACGAAAAGAATTTATGGGCTTTGGGATGTAATGAATTGAGTTTTCGTAAAATTTACTGTATACCTTAGTTAATTAAATAGTGGCACGTTTTTGTAAGGTTACTCACACTTTATATGTATGTGAACAGTAAAATACCGCTTATTTCCATTTTGGTGCAACAGTGATACATTAACACTACACATCGTAAATTGAAATAAATAATTATATAAGTTATTATATTAATTTACTAATACCAAATGTAAACTTTATATATTTATGTTTTTATGTATTATATTTTATGTATAATTGTATCGATTGTGTCAACCTACCGAGGGCTTAGTTAACACATGTTGTTTTGTGGCAACTTTACGTACTTTACACTTTATAAAACGCGTAAATATGTCGTAAACTTATACTTATTACCAAACGGGAGTCAATATTCACAATATGAAGAGCGAACTTGACAAATTAACAACAATACTTTAATATAAAATCAGAGATTTTACTCGAAAAACATCGGAAAATTGAGCAAAAGGGTGCTACAAAAATAAAACACTTACATTTTAATAGTCATTGAAATCGTACAACGGTTCGCGAGATACAGCCAAATTTCCACCGTGTGTTTAAAAAAATTACTAAAATCGTATAAGTTTCAGAGCGATTTTAAGGCACTTCTAGCGTGATTTCGGCGGATTGCAAAGTCGCATCTTAGA